GATCTTGGGAGTGAAAATCTCATCAACAGAGACACCTATGCAGAGCAGGGCTACACCCAGTTTCCACTCAATTCCACAGAAAACCTAATTCAAACCTGCTTGAGAAATATCTCTTTTGTTTAGAAATGCCAGGTGATGCCAAAAATTATATTTGTAGTGGACAAATTTCCCGAGCCTTTACATACACACATTTTCTTCTAAGAATCAACAACCTAGCAATTTAATGTTCAGTAAAAGGAAAGAAAAATTAAGTGGATGTTTTGATAGAGGTTAATCGGAAATTTACAGTATTAGCAATAAGTTTAAAAAGAAGAAAAATAAACTTTGAGTCCATAAAGCTACATGTAATTAGCTCACAATGTCAATACAGTGATAAATAATGATGGGAAATACTCCCTAAAATAACTTGTCTGAATGTTAAAAAATTATACCAAAGTACATTTACAACTGAAAAGTATACTTGTGCAACAAGATCACTACTTTCCAGAATTTCCTTTGGAACGATGACTGGAAGCTGCAGATTTTTTACTCCTTCATCATTCTCTAGACTAACATTGACCCATTTGTACTTGAATTTTGAAGAATCATGCATTTCTTCCATTTTATAACTGATAGTGGCACTTGTCACAGCAGCCTTTTTAGCAATAACATTAGCCACAATTGTGGCTAAATTTTCTGCTGATAAGTTTTCTGGTGATGAGTCAAACTCCAAAAACTGCTGCTCCAGTTGCTGGACAGCTTGTCGGATTTCATTTTCATGATATGTTGTTCTTTCCTACATAGAAAAGAGAACAATATCAGTGTTGAGTAACAGTGATTGATGAAGAGAAAGCTACAAACATATAAAGTCAAACCTGTATTGAGCAGTCACCCACAGGGAATTGCAAGGAGACCACTTAAACAGTTTGTACAGAACAGGAGTCAAATGCATTAAAAAGCCCTATTTTATGCCATAATTGATCACTTAATTTATAGGTTATTCCAAAGCTTGCTAAGAAATCCATTGCTTCTTTGTTAATACCAGTAAACAGAATCAACAAAATGGTGACACAACATAAAAAAAGAACACTGATGCAGAATTACTGGGATCAATATCAGTATCTGGGCAACTGCTCACCTACCCCTCCCCTAGCTCAACAACAGTCAATTGACAACAAGTTAAGGTTAATGTTGGGTTAGGGGAGGGGTAGGTGGGCAGTTACCCAGATACTGATACTGATCCAATAACTGTATACTATTATCTATCAGTTGGACCTCTAGGTCATAATCATAGGCTGATTGACTTGTGTAATGTTTGTGCATAATATTTGTCCCAACAGAATTAGATAATTTGCAATAAGTTGAGCACCTTTGAACTCAAAGTACTATTCCTAGTTTTATTTGAGAGGTTCTGCTTAAGTGATTGTTCAACACATGCAAGTAGAAAACAATAAAAACAGGAAGCTGGGACTCAATCAAGGATGACCATGACCACTTAATAGAGGTGAAAATTACAGTAATTTAGGGGAGAAAAACTGACAACTGACTGCTTTATTACAGGGTAACTGTTTAATATGGTGCAGCTTAATACAGGTTCAACTGTATAATGATCAGCCATTTCATGATGAAATAGATGTGCTTAACTATGTTTTCTTTTGTAGCACTAATTGCTCCAATAAAGAGGAACATTTTACAAAACATTAGAGGAAAATGCATCTTCTTTAACTCCCATGAGTAACCAAGACAGAATTTCTCCTTACAATATCAATACAATATCAACCACATAAGTGATGAGAATAAAGAAAAATATCAATTTGGGAATAATTATTTGATCCAATACTAAATTCTCTGAACTAACATTATAAGAACTGTATGGTTGAGATTAAGGAGAATTACCAATTTGATCTGGGAGTTAAAGGGTTAATAACCAGTACTTCTGGATGGCTTTAAAGACTTGAGGTTGTTTTTGCAGGAGTAATGGGCAATTCTGTTGAGCTGCTTTTTAAAACAGTGTTATAGCCTCCTCAAGGGGTTTGCCTTATCAAAAAAAAAAAAAAAAAGTTATTGGTGAAGTTTACACCAAAGGCAGTGGAGACAGCATTGATTACAGCATTACAATTGTCTCTTTGTTTTTAAACCCCTTGAAAATACAGTTCATCTATTTTAATTGTATTAAATTCTACTTTTTGATTTTACTTTCTTGCTTGACACTTGGTTGGTGAACATTATTCTAAAGATAGAACAGACACATTCAAGTTTGGAAATGTTTTTCTTTTTGGAATATTGAAATGTTATTTTATTCTTCCAGCCCCCATCCTGTCATTTCCTTTTACAATGAACCTCCCTACCCACTAAAAATTTACAGTACCATTAATAAATAAATGGCATGAATTGAAGAATTCCTTGTAAATTACTGGGTAAATAAAAGAAACAACAGCAAAAATTGCTGTAGTATGCAAAATGTGTTGAGTTGATTTAAAGCTCTCAAGTCTCATGCATTGAGCGTGAGACTCACACAAACAAATTCAATCTTACACTCTCATGCTAAAGCCAGTATTTCTCACCCCTTTAAGGTTTTGTATTTATTTGGTTGAATTTGCAATAGCAAACTGCTGCTTTCATTAAGTACCTACAAAATTAATTATCCTTCTAAATATAATTTACTCCTTCAGTTGTTTCTTATGCACTCATGTCACACACTTTTCCATTAGGTTAGTAGGAGGGGATAGACCCAAGAGCATAGCTAAATGAACACCAAAGATTAAAGATGACCAAACCAAAAAAGCCAGTTTTGGGGTGATTTACATACCTGTATGATCCTGCCAATGCAATCGATCCACAAGGAACTGAGAGTTCTTGAAAAAGACAGGATCCTGATTTAAACAATATGAATGCAAATTGCAAGCATCATCGTAGACAATCAGGCGGGGACCTGTCGAAAAAAGGGTAGAAAAAATGTAATGAACTTACATTTATTACGACTTGTTTAATATAAAATCACTCTGATAGAGGAAATCAAGAGAAGAAAAACTCCCAAAAAACCAGGCCGCGGTTGTTCAACGGGTGGATAACGGTATCCACAGAATGAATCTCTATTTACCTATAAGTGTTGTGATAACATACAATGCTATCCACTGGATAGTGTTATTCATCCTTTAAACTGGGCCCAGGTAATAAAAAGAAATTTTCTTCACACACAACAGCATCTAATCAAAGGTCACAACATACACATGCACATTAAATTGAGCTTACCTTGTGAAAAATGCATTTGAAACACTGTAAATGGGATGTTAGGAGATTCATTGCAAAGCATTACACTAAATCCATAAGTTATACCTAAAATGGAAATCAAAAGAGAGGATATAAAACCATTTTACACATAATCACAACAACACTGCGTACATTGAGTGCCTGAAAGCATGTTGTGAAAGAACATGTAATGAAGGCTGAAGAGAGGGTGTAACTGGGGTACATCACTAGTCAATAGAAATCAACAACCTTTATTTATACAAGTCATTATGCCATTTAGCCAATAAATTGTAAGAAAAACTTCGATTTAGTCAGTAAACAGCAAAAAAAAAAAAACAAAACAAAACAAAACAGGTAAGTCAGTTAATTTGTGCAATTCTTTGACTTGACAGCTGCAGATGTTATCCTTTTGAAAACTAAGCATTACAAACAGTTTTGGTCTTTCAAGAAAATGACATTTGTTGAGAAAAACCTAAACCTGATAACTAAAACCACAGGCAGAGCATAAACCCGGAGCTTGTCAGGATAATCTGGAATATACAAAGGGTAACAATAGCTAGTTGGGGGTCAGAGTGAACTGAAATTTACATTTTTTATATCAGAAGTAATGTTGTTTGTCGTAGAAATTAATACAAATATTAATACAAACTCATAACATTATTGTACCTTGTTTACAGTGCACTAAGAAAACTCCAGGAAGTAAGGATGGGTGTCGAGTACTCCTCTTTGTGCAGATGTTTGGAGTTGTGTCATCCAGGCAATAGTCACCACGACTTCTTACCACAGGCAGGCAAGGATAGTATTCTACATCATTTGTGCGGTGTACATCCAGTTGCACAGCATCTGGTATTGATCCATTTCTGCTGAACGGAGACTTTGCTTTTTCCAACAGGTCAATAATAAATGCAGTCAAGGCCTCAGGAAGCTGATCTCCCTCCACAATGCTAACTATGTCAAACAGGAGTGGAAAAGTTTGCTGGAGTAGAAGCATGTCTTCAGGACACTGCTTGACTGGTTCATTGCCAATGAGTGTGCATTAAAATGTTTCCAAGGAGTCCAATTGGGGAAGATGTGCACACACCAGGGAAGCTTTTCCTAATGCATTGAAAAATCCAGCAGTAGGTGTTGGAAAAGAGACATCAGATCCATAGAACAAAATGCACCAGGAAAGAAAACTACCTAAGGCAGGTGCACAACACTGCAACTCCAGGTGTAAAGAGGTCATTACTGTGTCTGTAATGTAACCTTGCTAACATCACGGCCTACTTGATCCACCATCTGCCTGACATGTTTTTCAGCAAGGTAAACCCTGTCACGATGCCTAGTGATGTCATAAAATATTAAATAATTAGCCTAAATGCAGATCTCTTCAAATAAGGCAAATAAAAACAGGTGATATTTAGACACATTAAAAGTCTATCCCAGTGGAATGTAGGAGGAACTGGAGCTGGTCTTAGTCTGGTCTCAACCCCTCAACTGATCCAGAAAAAGAAGACCTCATTCCAAGGTCTTTGCAGGGTCAATGAGACACACAAGCTTCACCACCACGACAAGGTGCCAGCCCAAGGTGAAGGATTAAAAATATTTAAAATTATTATATTAATCAGTAATCAAACTGAATCAAGTCATAGTCTTCACATCAACAGCTAGATTAATATATTATATCATGCTCACACTCTAAAATAGAACTCCTTGAATCATACTGGGAACCAAAATAATAGGATAAATGATGCATAAAATATGAAAAAAAATTCAGAAGCATAAATAGCAACTTATCTTCCTGTTTCTCGTGGTTCAGTGGATGGACTCAGTGATGAATAACTAGACTTCAGTGAAGTAGAAAGCTCTTGTCTGAAAGATAGTGCTGTAGCATCACAAATGACAGTGTCCAGACTGTTATCTTTGCCACAGATGGCACAACAAAAACCTTCTTCATAGTTTATGTCAAGAAGGTCCAGGAAACTGTACCAAGCAAAACACCAGTGGTGGTATGATAGCAACCTCCTGAAGTCCAATACATCTGCATCAGCCATGATCTCTTGCCAGACACTGTAGTATGTAAATAGAGTGCACCTAAAAAAAGAGAACATAATTTAAATATAGCTTTTTGAAAGACAATTGAATGACATACATGTACAATTTTATATCATTCTTAATACAATGATTTTCAGTTAATGTCACAGGCAAAACTTCAGAGATACAACAAATCAGAACCTTCAGCTAATAATTTGTTGATTATTTGTTTTTTTCTGGTACCTGATTTTCATCGTAAACCATCATGTGCAGACAAATGAGTCTTAGATTGTTTAGTATAATTGTTGTAAATTATAATTGTTGTTATAAGTGCATCTGCTGGGTGTGTTCCAGAAACATTTAAATTTATTGAACTAAGTACATTACTTGATATTCAGATGTCACAATAATGTCATTTTCAAATTCATTGTAAACTTTTGGGTGGTATGTGATTACTTGAAAAATTTCAACATAATGTAATTTTCATAATGCCATTCTCAACACAACATCAAAGTAATGTGCAATAAGTGTGAAGGCCTGTAAGACTTCAACTTTTAAACTGCAACAGAGAATTCATTTATGATACAGAATAAGTTACATGTACCTCCCCTTAAGAAAATGAAACATGAAATCCCTCAAGACCTCATAAGAAACAATGTAGGAACCCATGTTTAACAAAGTGAGCTCTGAGCCATCAAACTCCACTTTTCCATCACAGATTTCCTCAACACAAGTATAATATAATACTGAAATGAAACATACAGAAATCATTATTTGCTTATTACAAAAATTTAATGATAAGATGACGTAAAATTACTCATACATGACATGTTAGTAGCCACAGGCATGAACCTTTTCATATTGTATTCAGCCATTTCTATCCTATTCATGACAGTGAACACTACTTGAACACTTAAAGAGATAAGGAATTAATGCAAGGAATTTCTTACCTTCACATTGCCATGTCTGCTTTTTGAAAAAGCACAAAGCTTGTGTAGACATTTTGTCACAAAGAACATCTTCCAGAGAGGAGAATATGTTTTTCTGTGTTGTTGATAGATGGAATGGTATTTTTTTTACAAGATACTGCTCTCATTTTCCACTCTTTACAAGTGATGGCTGCTGCAACTGATTCAGTAGACTCTCAAAAATTTCTCTCAGCAAAAAAAATTGACCAGAAAATGAGGCATTCTGTGTTTTACTGTTTTCCTCAGATTCTGTTACTTTTGTTACATGCTCACAGTTGTGATGCTGGTGATCACAGATAAAGCAAGTGATAAGTGCACCCTGGAGGCCAACTACTCCATGCTGTTTATTTCCATGTACAAAAATGGTAAAATTATTCCCATTCAGAGGCAATAAGTCATGATGTTCCTCCTGAGATAGAAAAACAGCAAGAACAAAAAGTAAGTAGACTGTGGAAATGCTACAATCATTTCAGATAGTCTTTACTTAAATAACAGATACAAATGGAAAAATATGATGTTTACAGCTACTTACAGCAAATAATGCACTTGTCATTTCTCCAAGAATATAATAAACTAAGATTCATAAATAGCTGTACTCTGAAGGGGGCCTAGCTGTTTAAATACACAAATTATGCTCTAACATTATTTAACTTAAACCAAAATCATTAGGATGAGTGAAAAATAACCAGAAAAATGTTGATGAAAGTAAGATTAATGTTAGTAATAATTCCAAAATTTTAACATTCTAAAGCAAAAAATTCATTCATCTTACTTGGTAAGTGTGATCATGAGAATATGTGTCTCTGGCAAGTGAAGGGGTGATGTTGTTTTCCCTCTCAAAGCTTTCCATCAACTTTTCAGTGGCTTCAATATGGATGCAATTCCCATAAACAGAACTAGCTGCAGTTAAACCTGTGAGAAACATTTAATAAACAATACTTATTATTAGATATAATTTATTACTCAATTTAATACTGAAATGCAAAGAAGAAAATTATGGCACAGGGGCCTGGGACACAGTCAAAGACACAGGGGTCAGATTCAAAACAAAATAGCTAAATGAAGACAGCTTATAATCCTGTTACTAGTAGTTGGGGCCTTTCATTTCACAACTCAGGTTGTTAGAATTCAATAGAAAAAACATTTGACTAGCACACGAGGGTGCTTAAAGGAGGCTGGAGAAATAATTGGCAACAATAAAAAAGAGAAGCTGTAAGAAAGAGGATGGGAACTGCAGTTGCCTCCTAATGTATAAACAGAAATGAATGGCACTTAATGAATGTGCACATGAGATACAGTTATTGTCTACATTCAAACTGTGACTTGGATGAACAATTTTATTGGAGCATTTTTATAAATTATTTATATCAGTTTATATGCTTGTACTTACTATCTCCTGTGACTGTTGATGACAGTGACTGCAAATAATCTGTTTGCCTTGTGCCTTCAACACATTTGCAATGATAGATCCAAATGTTATCCCTGGGTTCTCTTTCAACAATCACATATTTGGCTTCCTGATGGTAAAGGATAAAAAATATGTAAGGTGATTTTGTTTGGCATAAGCACAAGTACCACATTACATCTAGTTATGAGTAATCTACATAGCTACTGTGCTAACCAATAAAAAAAACAGACGTTTTTGATGCACCCCAAGGTTACCAACCACAAAAAATTTGAGCCAAGTTGCAAAATTTCTAGCCTCCCTGTACATGTACAAGATGCACTAGAAACTACAGTACAGAGAACCCAAAATATAGAAATAAATTTAGATATAAAATATTAAACAAAATCAAAAATAATTATGAATACCAAAGGTGTGCAATTAGGATATTTTATATTGCATGTATACAGTGATGTATTAATACTACCCAGGTTTGAGTCTTGTTTAGGTGGAAAGGTCTACTTACTAGTAGTACATAAATTGTGGTCATTTCTTTTTGTACTACAGTACTAGCAGTACAAAAAAAGATCAACACCAGTGTTACAAAAATAACTTATAAACAATGATCAGCTTGCTGGCCAAGATTTTTTGAGTACTCAATAACAATCTTTTATACCACTTTTTGAATAGCTTATGCTGGTTCAGATTCCCAGATTAATACCATATATTAATAAAATATTTTCAAGTTTCAAGATTCCAAGAAGATTATAATAAGAGTTGACATGTTTTCTGCCATAAGCAAAGAACATGCTTCATATACATCTATTCTGCTCAGTGCAGATTTTACTTGATCTAGTTTTGTAAGCAGCACCTCAGCTGGCAAGACCATAGTTTAAGTATGGATAAATAAGGGTATAATATAACTGTTTGAGCATATGAAAATCAAGATAGTGTCTTAGCTTATTAACTATACCTACATTCTTTGCTAATTTATTTTGAATTTGGGATTAGTTTTCAAGGTAATACCTAGATACTTAATATTTAAATAAGTGAATAACAATGGCCTGAGTGTTGAACCCTGAGGAACTCCACATGTAATAGTTTCCATACTAGACTCAATTTCATCAATCTTTACAAATTGAGTGCAATTGCATTGTGTATGATGGTTATATTTTAAAAAATCTATATTCATGTCTCCCAGAATGTATAGTTGATATCTATTCTTTAATTTTATAATTAGATCATCAATATGTTTAGTAAATTCTTCTATATTAGCACCAGGGTGTCTATAAATGGATCCAATTAATATAGGTGCCTTGCCATTACATGGATTGATTTCAACCCAGCACGATTCGACTAGTTGCATATTAAATTTTATATCAAGTCTGGGTATAGATTTAACCCTTTAACTCCCGTGAGTGACCAAGACAGAATTTCTCCTTACAATATCAATACAATGTCAACCAGATAAGTGATAAGAATAAAGAAAGATATCAATTTGGAGATAATAAGTTGATCCAATACTAATTTCTCTGAACTAACATTATATGAATTGTATGGTTGACATTTAGGAGAATTACAAATTTGATCTGGGAGTTAGAGGGTTAAGAGTCTTAATGATGTAGATAGCTGACCCACCAGCCGAAGTAGGTGAATTAGTATGATAAAGTTCATAGTTTAAAAGATCCACATTACAAACAGAGTTTGCATTTAATCTGGTTTCAGTAATAGCAAGAATTTCTGGTCTTTTATCAAGGGAATAAATAAAATCTTCAAGCAAAGCTAAATTTTTTTGTAAGCTTCTCATATTACTGTGAAACATTGAAATGGCTTTTGGCCCAGCTTTGGCAATAGTATTATTTATCTGAGAAATGGAGTAGTAATTTGACATTGGAATAGTAAGCATTAAGTCAGGATCGGTTTCATCAGATTTATCAGGGTTGGATATCAAATTGAACAGGTCAGTATCTATTAGCTGATTGAACTGAACTGACCTTAAGCCATTTGCAATATTAAACTCTCGATCATTGAAGTTGTAGAAATGGCAAAATCTGCAAGGAATTAATTGTAATTCATTCATTGGAGATTGTATAAAGTGAAGAAATATAAATAAATATGAATAATCAGATGTTGAAAAAAAAATTCTAATCTGTTATTAATCTCATCCAAATAATCTTCGAATTCCTCGTGGGTAGAGAAGCTTACAATGCGTGAGGTCTCAGTCTCTTAGGAGGATCTTCCCGTTGGCAGTCCATAAAAATTTGTGATTACGCTGTTGTTTGAATGTATTAATTTTCCCAAACAATCTCTTCCTGTAGGTGGTTAACGACTCATTGATATGAATCTTGTTGTCACTGAAGACACTTTTGCCCATTTCGGCTTGGACAGTAAAAAAAAAAACAGAATCGAAAATATTTTTAATAGATGCAAAATTAAGACTTACCAGCAAAGCATCTAAAATTGGTCTAGGTTGCAACGCCTGATGAGAAGGATTTTCGAAATCATCTTGATCAGTCGAGGTGGTGACCGTAGTACTCAAATCAGATGTCTTCTATGATCCCCTACGTCTAATCTTCTTTGGCACTAACTAGGAAAAATTGCACCGGCCTCTTCTTTCATTCCTCTCGCTTAATTCATTTTCGTGAACGGCGGGAAAAGGTGGTGTGCTGTTATTATCCGCCATTTTGTGAAATGCGGCTACACTAACGTGTATGTGTCATGAAGTGTACCAGCAGCTGGTGGTTATTTTCGTGGTTACGAGCAGAGTGATCTGTTATACAGAATACCTCCCGTTCACGAAAATGGATCCTTCTGTTAGGAAGTATTTAATTAGTTTATGATTAGTAAGTCATTTTGTTAGTTCTTTACTATTCTGATTTAATCTTTCGTTTATAATTAGAATGTACCTAAAGGCTAATTTCCAACCCTGATGCAACGCAGTCGTTTGTTTTTGTTGTGCACCTCTTTTGTATAAATTCAAATTCCGAAGTTATTTCGCTTTGAGCTGTTGTGATGAGTTTCCGAATTGTGACAGCCTTGTCTAACTTCCATAAGTGGACGTGTTTAATTTGTCTACTGACCTTGCTTTGGACCCACATGAAAGTTTTTGTTTTGGCTAACGCAGTGAGAGGTTGATTCAGTTGATTGGAAGCATTATGATCAAGTGCTTTGTTGTTCATTTCGAAAGTCTCGTGAAATTGTTTGGTTTAGTTTTCTAACAACATTGTTTAGCCATCTAAACCGCAAAAGATTGAAGCGAAATGCCCTCCATTCGTTTACTTATTATTTATCACACGCAACAAGAATCGAACGTTGTTTGTCTGAGTCACGAAGGGGAACTGAAATTTCATGACTCCCGCCAAGAATCAATCTGGCGCCAAATCTACCAGTTAACTAGACCCTGTGAGCAGGGTAACTGGGATACCTTGATGGTACTGGATCCTTGGAATCAAGTGTAGTGATACTACGGGTGTCGGATTAGTATACTGAAATAGTGAGCTCAAGTCTGGCTAAGGGCATACACCTATTTCAAAACATAGGCATGCTATGCATACAAGAGTTATTTTTTGTAGGGTGGGTGGATTACTTGTGGTCTACATTCTTACAAAAGGAAAGAAGAGTATTAAGATCTGTATCCGTCTTAATTTAGT